GAAAAAAAAAAAAGAAAAAAAAAACCCAAATTCACACAGTAAGGACTGAAAAGAAGAAAATTACTACAGGCCCCATGAAACTTTAAGAGATCATGAATACCTACTTTGAAAATCTCTACTCACATTGGGTGGAAAACACAGAGGAAATAGATTTCTAGAAACATATCAACTACCAAACTCAACCAAGAAGATATAGCAATTGTGAATAGCCCAATATCAGCTACTGAAATTAAAAATGTATTTAAAAACTTAGCAACAACAGGAATATGACAAGGATACTCATTATCACCACTCTTATTCAACATAGTTCTGGAAATACTAGCCAGAGCAATCAGACAAGAGAGAAGAAAAATTGGAATAAAAGTAGGAAAGGAAGAAGTTAAATTATCACTAATTGCAGATGGCATGATAATTTATACAGAAGAATAAAAAAACTCCATTAAATGACTATTAAAAGTAAGAAACAAATTCAGCAGTGTATCTGGATACTAAGTCAATACTCAAAAATCAATATCATTCCTTTACACAAATAAAAACTCACTGAGTGTGAAATTATAGAAATATCACCTTAACAATTGCATCTAAAAAAATAAAGTACTTAGGAGTTAATATAACCAAGAATGTAAAAGACCTATACGCTGAAAATTATACTACTCTAAAAAAGGAGATTGAAGAGGATGTTAGAAATGGAAGGATATTCCTTGCTCTTGTCTAGGAAGAACCAACATTGTGAAAATGCCCAAACTCTCAAAACTCTTATACAGATTTACTGCAATGCCAATCAAAATACCTTTAACATACCTTACAAATCTTCAGAAAACACTCCTAAAATTCATTTGGAAACAGAAGAAAACTAGACTACCTCAGGCAATTCTGGAAAACAAAGGCAAGGTAGGAGGCATCTCAATTCCTAACCTGAAACAATACTACAAAGCTACAATGATAAAATCAGCATCCTACTGGCAAAGAAATAGACCTTAAGATCAATGGAACAGATTAGAAGATGGAAACACAACTACAAAGACACTGATCCTCCTAATAGTTTACAAAAGGGCTAAACATTATCATTGGAAGAAGGACAACCTGTTTAATAAATGGTGGAAAAATTGTCTCTCCACATGCCACACACTTATACTAGACCCATGCCTATCACCATGCAGTAAATTAAAGTCAAAATGGATGAAAGATCTAAATGGTAAAATAGAAACACTAAATCTACTGTTAGGTAGGTAAGTAGAAGTCTTAGAGACATTGGATGAAGCAGAGAATTCATGAACAAAATGCAAACCACATGAGAAATACTTCAACGAATCAACAACTAGAATTTCATATTATTGAAAAATTTTGCGCTTCAAAAGAAATCACCAACAGAATGAAAAGAAAACCCACACAATGGGTAAGAAGTTTAGCCAACAATCCCTCAAAGGACTTATTTTCAGAACATATAAATCACAAAAAAAGGAAACCCCTAAGATTGAAAGACCCTCTCCAAAATGGGCATCACAGATGAACACATATTTCTCAGATGACGATATACAAATGGGAAATAAATGCATGAAGAAATGTTCACCATCACTGGTCATTTGAGAAATGCAAATTAAAACAGCACTGAGATTTAATCTCATTCCAGAAAGAATGGCTGCCATCAAAATCAACTGATAACAAATGTTGGTGAGGCTCTGGAGAAAAAGGAACACTGTTCCACTGTTGGTGAGAGTGTAGACCGGAAATCAGTCTACACTATGGAAATCAGTACGGAGATTTCTCAGAAGTCTAAGATTGGAAGTTCCACTCAATCCAGCTGTTCCTCTCCTGGGTATTTTCCCAGAAAAACTGAAAAATTCATGTCATAGTGATATGTGTGCACCCGTGTTCATAGCAAATTTTAATAGCTAAATCTTGGGAACAACCAAAGTATCCATCAACCACAGGCTGGATGAAAAGATGTAACATTTTTATACAATGGAATATTACTCGGCTATAAAAATGTTAATCTTGAGGCTCTTATAGGTATATGGAGGCAACTGAAGAGTATCCTTATAAGTGAAATAAATAAGAATCATATTTGTAAATATCGCATTGTGTGTCTAGTGTAAAAAGTAATAAAAACTGTAGGGGTGATAAGATCCAAAATGTATAATCACTATTGTAAAAAAGAAAGGGAAAGAAAGTGCTCTAAAGTGTATAACTGCATTAATGTTTAAGTATATAAGATAGATAACCATATTACTAAGTTTTTGTTGGATTATTGAACAAAATTTTTGCATTGTCATTGTTTCAGTGTCTGTCCACTTTTTATGCTTTTATTTTGTAACTTGAACAATTATTTCTAAGATGAAAATATGTAATTTATCAACTAGTGATTTCTTAATGCTTTTTATTGAAATTCTGTATAATTTTTACCTTTTTTCTGTTTTGATCTTTTTCTCTTTAAATATTTTTTTAAAAGTATATGTCTTGCTGTAGATTTATTTTGGTTGTGGCTATTTGGAGTTTTATATGCTTCATTTATTTTTGGTCAAGTTCATAATTCTTGTTTGGGAAGTTTTCTGCCATTATTTCTAAGAAGAGATTTTTAATAGTTTTTGTGCTATCTCCAGCTTTCTCACTAAGCCAAATCAATCTGATGCTGTTTTTCTTGCTTCATCTTGCAGATATTTTTTTTTTTGGTTTTTCATGATCCCTTGCTTTAAAGACATCTTTATTTTCATGGTCATTGCACAATCTTGCACTCTAGATCTGATACTGTATTCTCAACTTTATGAAATCTGTTGAATATGCTTTTGATGCAGTTTTTAATTTGGATTTCTGTTTGGATCTCTTGATCTGATTCTTTTTCCTATATTGAGTCTTCATGTTTTCCATCATCTTGTTGAGCTCCTCTAGGTTTTTGTAATTTTTTATTTGCATTTCTTTTTTGCATCCTACAGTTTACTTTTTCTATAGTTTCTTTCATTTGTCATTTCACTTGTGCTGCCTTTATTTCATATAATTTCAGTGGTTAACTTAAGATTTTCTTTTCCTGTTTGTGCTCTGAATTTGTCCTGGGTGACCGATCCATTTGGGGGTTACATTTTGTTTCTTTGTCTTGTCATTTTGTATTTACTATTTTTTTAATTTTATTTTGTTTTCTGTGCTGAAGCTTATAGATTTCTTATGTAAGGTAGTTTTATTCCTCATACCAAGGCTTTCCTAGGAAATGTCTGTTCTTCAGGATGTCTTCTAGATTTAGATGATATTCCTTATATATATTCCAAGAATCTATCTTCCCAATATATTAAGATTTTGAAGCTGCTATCTATCAGGCCCATAGTCCGTTCCTTTGCTACTAGACTATGGTGATGATAATGACCACTTAAACTTTCAGTGTCATTTAAGGGAGGAAAACTGTTTATAACAGTTATGACATTTTGGTTAATGTAGTACACTTAGTCTTAGCAATAGACTCAAGCACAATTGGGCTAATGACAAACTATGGTAAACTCTTAACCTGATATCTTTACCCTGGAAGCAAGTTTTACACTTATAGAATATAACTAACTTTTACTAGGAACTTGAATGCAATGATTTTTTACCTCAGAGTGTGATTTTACTGTGTTATGTGGACATTAAGACAGAGGATGGGTCTGAGGATATAGTTCAGCGGCACAAGTGTCTGCCTAGCAAGTGGGAGGTTGTGAGTTCATTCTTGGCACAAAAAATGTCATGATCACCAGGGATATAGATTGATATTACAGTTCCTGCCTACTAAGTGCAAGTTCCTGAGTTCAATTCCTGGTACCTAACAAAAAAAAAAAAAGAAAGAAAGAAAGAGGGAGCAAGTGTAGAGTATGCAGGTGAATTAGGTTAAATATAATGGGAGTAACAACTAGTGTATTGACATTATACACTTTAGAGAAATAAGATACTCAGACACAAAAGACACATAATGTATTGTGAAATTAATGTCCTGTGAAAAATTATGAAAATGTAAAGTGTGCATTCTGTGCTGCTTCTATGTTAGTATAATAAAATAGTTTTAATTATTCTGCTTCATGTTGTTAAAATGGAAAAACACCAAAATTGAAATATAATTCTTAAAGTATTAATAAGACATAATTGAGACAGGACATAGCTCAGCTACATGAATGCCTGCATAGCAATCACGAAGTCCCGAGCTCAGTTCCAGGTATAAATAATAATAATAACAATAATAATAATTTTAATAATTATTTTCAGATCTATGTTGCAAATTAAAGAATTACAAATATGAATATGTATTATATAGCTTGATAATTATTTATACCCATGAAATAACTGTATATATTATTCATGTAGGTTTGTACATTTTTCAAAGGAAGGGAAAATAAATTGTGCTTTTTGCCAGTTATGATTTCTTATCATTAAATTATGTCTAGTAAATTAACATTACAATAATTCACTTTCTAAATTTTGTGGGGTATTTTCCATCATCATAAGTATACAACAAATATTACAACATTATTTCATAAAAGATTATCTATATGTGAACAAACTATGCATTATGCATATATTAAGTTAGTGATTAAAGTCATCAACACATTTATCAAATAATTACGCTATTATTCTGTTTTATTATAACACATTTTCTGAAGATTCTCTATAATCAAATTAGCAATCTGAAGGAAAAGCATAGAAACTCATACACTAAGACATCCCTCCATATCGTCTTCCAGCATTTACTGTTTGATGTTTTCTTCTTACTTATTTTTGCCCTGGTCTTCCCCCATAATGTCAGTGCTCTATGCACACTTTGATCCTGCATAACAGCATCAGTTCATGTGAATATCACTGGAACACAAGCTTGGGTTTCTTCAAACATTTATACCACTAAATTATTCTTTATGTACTTATATCTCACAAGTGTCAAAGTAAATATGCTTAAAAAATTGCATATATATTATTTTTCTCAAAGGTGCAAGAGAACTTCAAAGAATTCATCTATCTAAAAATGACATCATCAGGGAATACTTGAACATTTCTTATCTTTTCCACCTGGATTTTAAGGACTCAGCTATCCTTTTTTCAGAGGTCATTAGCACAAAAGGACAGATTGTGGCATATCCATTGCTCACAACCATCAGAACACAAAGATGAAGTGGGTCATTGTTCCACAATATTGCAAGCGAGGAGAAAGAAACACAGTCCAAAATGTACATGAGCATAAAAAACACCATGAGCAGCAAAATGGTCCGGGTGGCCCTTTCTTCTGGGGATGCATTTGGGCAAAGGCTGGTACTGTGAAGATGCTGAAATTGCCTCTTATGCCTGCACAAGAGACTCACCATGTATCCACTTGAAAGAGTCATCAGCCCTATAAAGGAGACATCTTGAATGTTCACCAATGAAAGAAATATGTACTTGAAAAAGTAATTAATAGACCACAGAGAACAGGATTCAGTGACAAACACAAGATTGTGTGACATCACATTGGATGTGGCACCAATGGAGACTAAGAAATGACCGTTCAGAAGCATATTGAAAACCCATAAAAATCCAAGGCAACTTGGGTAATGATGTGAGGATTTTTGTTTGAATTTTGCCAGGCAAGAGCTTCTGGGGCATAGGATGATGGCCTGGAGGACACTCAGCAGGCAGGTGGTGCAGATAGAGAGGGCCCTCATCAACCTGTACACATAGATAACCAATTTACATGTGAGGCCATCCCAACTCTGAAACCCAAAAGTATCTGTAGCTATGAAGCTCACAGTTGTCAGCATCACCAGGTGGATCAGGGCCAACTGAGCAATAGTGAGATCAAGGGGCTTGGGCCTGTGCTTGAAGAGAAATATGGAGATGTGAAACAGAAGCAAGATGGTATTGGCTGCAATTCCAATGGTGACTTCAGAGAACACTATGCTTCTTATGATAGTATACCTAAAAAGTTTTCTCTTTTTCTTCACCATCATAATAAAAGAAAAACAATGGAAGCCTTAGAAAAAAAGTGTAAAACATTATTCATCACACATTTCACAACAATCATTACCTTGGCCAATAATTTACCTTAATCAGATCGTTGAATTCTCCCCACTCGTCCTTTCTACTTTAGAGCTCACCTACCCTGATGGCAGTTATATTTTGTGTGTTACTTCAGAGGCAATAGTAAATCCAACATAATATATCTTGCTATCGTTGAAATAGCTGTCTATGCCACTCGATATAATAAAATAAAAAAAACAACAAAACCCAACTGAAGCATATAGCAAAAGAGACACAGGACTTCAAAAAAACATTATAGTGAATTAACAATGGTTCCTACCTTCAGAAAGAGATTCCCCATAGATGCTACATTGTGTACTTTTATCTCCTGAATAGATGATTAGACTACTGGCTTCAGGCTTGCAAAGTAAGTGAAACACTAAATACCACAAGTATTAAATTGTATTTTACCTCAGCCTGTGTTTCTACGATAAGCCATTCATTTATAGGGTCAGGGAGGGGAAAACCTTGGCTCATCTTGTCTCTCATCCTGCAGAAATTTTGATTTTTAATATAAAAATATGATAGTAAAATTTTAAAAGATCATCTTTTACTAAAGCATTAGTAAAGGACAGTAACACAATTTGCTCCACTCACTGTGAGCAAATGAAATTTGGTCTTGTCATTAGTTCAGGGGAACATGGGACACATGTCAGACTATCAGATGTCTCTGATTTATGTTCTGCCTTATGTTTTATGTTTTTATAAATGTTCTGCTTTATGTTTTATGTTTTTATAAATGACACACACTTATTTCCTGAACATTTATCCTATGAAAATTCTAAACTACTTCCTTCTAATAATAATAATATGGCTAATAGTAAAGGCATAAATTTAAATTGCTATGTAATATCTACATGAAATTTTTATAAATTACATTAAAAATAAAATGTAAACTATAAATTTGTATTGATGTTGTTTTTCTAAAATTCTAGCATTGACTTAATTTTATTTTAATAAATTGAACTTGGTTGGGGAACCAGGAATAAGCTCAACAGAGCACCACCTTCTTGCCAAATGCAAGGTCCTGATTTTCATTACTGGTACCTAAATAAATAAATAAATAAAATGAGTATGATAAACAGTCTCATAAAGTGATTCAAGTAATGTGTATAAATCTTCTTCCATAAATTGAGAAACAGAACTACATTACTGTAAGCATTGTTCATTGTGTGAGTAAATACAGTCCTGAAACATGAAGGACTGGGTGAGAGACATATGCAGAAGCTCTAATTTTAATAACCATTCAGGATGTCAGGGGACAGCTGGGTTCTTACTGGAAACTGGCAAAACTTTCTGGAGCAGATGAATCTCCTCTCTGCACAGCATTAATACAGGAGAGTCCTGCACTCAAAAGCACCCAGTTATGTTATTGGTTCCCATGGAGGATCACACACATGACAGAAATAAGAGGCCAACCGTCCAGCCATCTCCAAATTTTGCAGATCACACAACTTATTAGAAAAACACATTCCACTTGTTTTGTCCAGTTTTTATCTGTAAAGGTTATACAGGGGGAGTAAAGATACTTCTGTGACAATGTTTTACTAGAAAATATATGATTGAAACTGTGAACACATGAAAACAAGCTAATGGAACTGATCTAGCAGTATTCGCACCCAGCCATGTTTCATCCAAGTTCATACCTGCAAGGTTCAGAACAGATTAGGAAATAGAACATTTGTACTCAGAGAGATTTTTTGTCATGAAAATCTATATAAAAATGAAATAAATAAATCATAGAGAAAATATCCTGGAAGCAGTTCTGAAAAATTCACACTCTTAACGGTCACAATGGGAAAAAAGCTAAGGAAAGGTCAAGTGGACAACTCATGGAAAGCAAAACAGAAATGTAATAAGAAAGTCAAAGAGAATCCTCTGCATTTTTTTTTTGAGCAATCACTATTTGGAGCTCTGATAATTCAGTAATGCTGTAAATACCACCTGAGAAATATAACACAATTCAAAACTTACCTAATGCACTGTCTAAAGGATTCACTTTAGATCCTCTGATATTTGGCAATTGCCAAGTATAAGGCTAATTCTCTGACATGTTATACACTCAGATGTTTCTCAACTGAGTGAGAAGGCATGTGTCAGGGCACTGGAGCCGGAGGTGAGAAAAAAGACATAAGTCCTGTGAGATAAAAAAGTCAAGGATTTCCACCAAGTGTGGGCACTTATGGCCTTCCAGGCAGACAGACACTAGCATGAAGAAAGTGGCTACATATTCTCCTTTTCGATAGACAAAATGAATGTGTAAATAATGTATTATAATAAGATTCAAGCCCAGAAAATGATCATATGTCTTATGTGCACAAAAGAGCAGATCTTGGCTATTATTCCTGTAATTTACATGACATTCAACAGTATTGTTCTTGTCTATAATTTAACTTAAAATTAATCTTTTGAGATAAGACTGACAATGAGAAAAAGACTGGTTTAGGTTCATGAGAAAACTGATCTACATGCTGTTACCCTTTACAGAATTTCAGCTGGAAAACTGCAAAGAGAAAAACACATCACCAGCCAGATAGATGGACCAAACTCAGTGCACAGGATTTGCGAAATGTATAGCACCAGAAATAAGAAAAACAAGATTCAAATACCTGGATGCCATCTATGCACAATTTTTAATATGTGGGAAAAGTTACGTATTTTGTCAATTTAAATGATGTTAAAGTAGACAACTGGGTGCTCATTTATATATAGATATTAACAACATTCATATGTTTATGTACATTTTTAGAAAAGTTAAGTTAAAGTAATTATTATTCAAAAAATAAAATAAATAATCCCAGAGACAGCCTTTCAAAAATGTGAAGCTCTCATCTCTCACAAAGAAAAGTGTCTATAAGAATCTCCAACTAACCTCAGAGTAAAAGGAATAAAGTTTTCTGTTCATGGAAAATAACTTTCACATTTTTAATTAAACATGGACCAAGAAAAGATGATAGTTCACATTAATCTTGTGAGAAATATATTCAAAACAGGTAGAGAGTAGCTGTCACAAAACAGTCATAGACATTAGGATTGAAGCAAATCTTTGATTCTATACTTGTGCTTTATGAAAGGTGATCTGGCTATCTACTAAGAATGAAAGCAGAAGAAATATTTTTAATTTGAAAAACTACAGAAAGTGCTAAAAAACATAGTCTCTCCTCTCAACACATACTGGTAGACTGTATGCAAATATCTTTATAATAAACACAGTGAAAACCTCCATCACCATTACATTGATTTCCTTTAAACCATCTTATAGGCTAACACCATCAAGAGGAATTTTGTGAAATTAACTTAGGTCAAGCAAGATTTAGTGAAAAAATTCTCATACGTTTTTATAGGAATGAGGTTAATGTCTCTTTCAGAGCTACTGCCTTTTTAACAAGCATCTTATTTCATAATAAATAATTTAAGTGAATATTAACTAACCCATTATGCAGGACTATTTTTCAAAAACTTCTGTGACTTATACAGAAGATGGAAGAGAAACTGATTCTGTATATGGAAAACACACAGTGAGAATTCATCTAGTTATAGGAAGTAAATGGAAATATAACGATTTAGATTTTAAAAAAAATCTTCTTGGAAGAATGATATTGGAAGTAAGTGCACACCATTTAACTCACAGAAATAAACATATGCCAGAAATTCATTTAGCATTTCTAATGAAAAATAATACTATTTTGTGAGTCATGAAATTAAAAGTTTGAGTCTATGCAAATCTCACTCTACAAAAACCTCAGCATGCAGCCCACTGTCTCACTTCCGTAGCCTGCCTAGGACCCGGCCCACCACAGACCGTGTATCTGTGACCAGAGAGCCACTTACCAAGGGCACGTGTAGGAATCTAGTGCTCCTGAGAAAACTCTGCATGAGCTTAATATAAAGATGGCATTAGGGCATCACTGTGTAGAAGTGTCATTTTAGAATCTGTAGAAAAGTGACAAGATCTCACTAGAAAAGATGAAACCACAAGTCCCAAGTGGAACATTATGCCTGTCCTTGGAGTTTATTTTACTTTCTAGATGATAGCCATCTGGGAAGAGCTGTGCTCCAAACTTTACTCTGATTTTCCCTGACACATCTGCATGAAGGATGAGAAAGGTCGTTTTGTATCATAAATGCAAATTAGTCCAAAACTATTGCAAATTATTCAACACAGATTTGTAAACTCTTCTGGAGAGATGCCTGTTGCCTGCCAGTGCCTTCCACTGTCACCTCCTCAGGGTCTCGTTTCCCTCCATGTGATATGTGACACACCCACTCTTCTCTAGTCTTTTCTCACACATAACACCTGGTTCCTGTATTACTAGGGGTGTAGTTTGTGTATTGCATGACTTTCAAGTCCTTAGTTTCAGGGTTTAGACTAAGAGTAAAATTCCAATATTAATTTCAATAGAAACAAAAAGCAGGACCCTGGCTCCACAATGGGGTGTTGTGGGTTGGGGTGAGCATAGGTGCAGGATCATAGCTGAAAACAAAGCAAAACAGGAGATGTAGTCTATGCTATGAGAAGCTGGATGTTTACCCCTCATTCATACCAGTGGATGTTAAACAATAAAAGGTTCCCATTTTCTCCAAATTTAAAAAAAAATTAAAAAATAAAAAAAATAAAACAGTATTAGGGAGGAAGGACCCCACACACCCTAGACTTCAAACCTCAAACTTCCAAGTCCTCAGAGGCACTACATCTTAGTTCCCAGCAACACAGGGCCATGAAACTTTACTCTGAGTTCCCCTGACACATCTGCATGAGGAGTGACAAAGGTCTCTTTGTATCATAAGTGAAAATTAGTTAAAAACTATTGCAAATTGTTCTACAAAGATTTCAAACTCCTCTAGAGTGAGAGACTTCTGTTACCTCCCAGTGCCTCCCACTGTCACCTCCCCAGGATCCCAAGTTTCCCTCCATGTGATGTGTGAC